TATGGATCACATTTTCCTGTTCTTCTTGTTCCTGAAATTGTTGATTGTATGTTGGTCATTGTGGATGACATGTTGCAAAGATTCTAGATTCTGTTATCTTCCTCTGAAAAGTGTTGGTTTTTGTTCTCACAGGCAATTAATTTGGCAGGACTCAAATTGTATCCCTGATGATGGGCAACAGCTGAAAACTCTGCTGAGTCCTTTCAGCCTTTTAGCTATATGTTTTCTGCTGGGATCCTTAGAGTCTCTTGTGCAGATTTGTAATTCAGAGATCAGTCAGGGACTTGGCAAAGTTTATATGGAGACTCCGTGGTTCCCCCTTCTGGGGTTCTCTGCTTACTGTGATGGTCCTCCTTACATTTCAGTCTCTCTAGAGACTCTGAACTCTGTCCTATTCCTTAAGCCAATTTTGCTTAAGTTCTAGCTGCTCTCAGTTGGTGGACTAAGAAGTGCCTTTACACAAACAAAAACGAAAACAAACAAACAAAAACCATGTAAACAAATCTCAACCGTGCAGCCCTCTTCTTTTAAGGGGCATCTTCATTCTGGTTTGTCTGCTTATGGTTCCCTTCAATAGTTGTTTTCATGTTTTGTTCTGCACTCACCATCTATAAAAGACTTAGTCTGACACAATTATTCTTCCATTATCAGAAGCAGAACCTTCGAACACTTTCTTAAAAAGTAAAAAATGAACATCTATTCCTACAAATTGTTATAAGTAAATTAATTAATTCAACAACTATTTACCACCCATTGACTCTGAGCTAGTTACTATGCTAATCCTAGGTGCTGGAAAGCATTTCAGATTTAACAGTTATGTTAGCTTGTAGTCAATGTGAATGGACCTGGTTTTTTAAACCTCAAAATAAAATGTTATCCAGAGACCCTTGCAATGCCTTCCCCACAAAATGAATATAATAAACATACATTTACTTGTTACATCATAAATCCTTTACATTTCTGTGCTGGATATTTTTTTCAGATTTCTTAGGCCAGAGGCATTTGCAGTTGAGTTTAACAACATCAACATTGGTTGCAGTTTAAAAAAAAACCCAACTTCCTCTGCTAATTTGAAATCTGTCAAAATATTTTTTTCATAAGAATCTCTGGGGTGGTGCCACCCTTTCATAACAGTGAGACCTCTGTCATTTCTTGATTTGCAAGAGAAGGAAAAAAAAACTTTGGAACTAGAAATACCAGAAATAAAAAAGAACGACACAGTTCTCCATCAGTACCAAATTTGGGGCTGAGAGGGTGCCAAGAACCCTGACAGTCATCAGCCTCCCCTTTGACTTCTCACCTTCCTACCTGTGCGTGGAATGTTCCTCGTCTGCATAAACAGCTGTAGCTTTTTACTATGTCTAAATAAAATGAAGGTAGAGGATCAGGGTAGAATTCAGTGCTACCTGCCCCTCATTTGTTTAGGGGTGAGAGGTCCAGGATAAGAGAAAGATGACCAGCTGCTGGAAGTTTCCATGTAGACCTCACCTGCTTAGCTCTTGGCTTACTTCCTTGTTTCCCACTCTCAAATCCTCAGTCAAGACCTGTCTCACCCATACAGACTGATGGGAGGATGAAGAGGGGCCAAAAGATAGATGGGAAATTTTTCAGGGGGAGGATATATATAGTTCAGTGGTAGAGCATTTGCTCAGCATGCATGAGGTCCTGGGTTCAATCCCCAGTCCCTCCATTAAAATAAATACCATTAAAATAAATAAATACATAAATAAACCTAATTACCTCCCCCATCTAAAAATTAAAAAATAAAATACATCTTAAAAACAGAGAAATTTTTCTTGCTTTATAGTTTTGTGTGAGTTTGGCTGGCTTTATTTGGGAGTCAAGAGGGAGGCAGATGAAGACTACGCTCCCATCTCTCTTCTGCGATCTATTTATTTTGCACATAGCTTGGAGATAAGCCAAGTGTCCTTTGTCTTTCCAGTTCTCCAGCACCTATGTCTACTTTGAGTCTGTTATTAGAATCAAATAGCCAACAGATGACATGTGGCTACTTCATAACTTTTTGCAGAATGAATCACCTGGCTCCATATGGTATATTTTGGTCACTTCTCTAATTATATGTTCTAAGATACATTTTTGTGTGTGTGTGTGTGTATATATATATATTTATTGAAGTAGAGTCAGTTTACAATGTTGTGTCAATTTCTGGTGTACAACGTAATATTTCAGTCATACATGAACATACATATATTCATTTTCATATTCTTTTTCACCATAAGTTCTACAAGATATTGAATATAATTCCCTGTGCTATACAGTATGAACTTACAGTGTATCTATTTTATATATATTAGTATCTGCAAATCTCGAACTCCCAATTTATCCCTTCCCACCCCTTTCCTCCCTGGTAACCATAAGTTTGTTTTCTATGCTGTGAGTCTGTTTCTGTTTTGTGAATAAGTTCATCTTTTTTTTTTAGATTCCACACATAAGTGATATATGGTATTTTTCTTTCTCTTTCTGGCTTACTTCACTTAGAATGACAGTCTTAAGGTTCATCCATGTTGCTGCAAATGGCATTGTTTTATTCTTTTTATGGCTGAGTAGTATTCCATTGTATAAATATACCACAACTTCTTTA